GAGGAGGAGGAGGAGGAGACCCCAGCCTGGGGAGGAAGAGGAGGAGGAGACCCCAGCCTGGGGAGGAGGAGGAGGAGAAGGAGGAGACCCCAGCCTGGGGAAGAGGAGGAGGAGACCCCAGCCTGGGGAGGAGGAGGAGGAGACCCCAGGCTGGCAACAAGGAGGAGAGGAGACCCCAGCCTGGGGAAGAGGAGGAGGAGACCCCAGGCTGGCAACAAGGAGGAGAGGAGGGGGAGGAAGAGACCCCAGGCTGGAGAGGAGGAAGAAGGGAAGACCCTAGCCTGGGCAGGGGAGGAGGAGACCCTAGCCTGAGGAAGAGAAGCAAGAGGAAAGAGAAGGAGGAGACCCCAGGCTCAGGATGAGGAGGGCGAGGAGAAAACCTTAGCCCAGGGAGGAGGAGGAGGAGGAAGAGGAGGAGGAGGAGGAAGAGGAGGAGGAGAAGGAGCAGGAAGAAGAGGAGGAGGAGGAGGAGGAAGAGGAGGAGGAGGAGGAGGAGACCCCAGCCCAAGGAGGAGGAGGGGCCCCCGGAAAGAGCCCAGCCCCGCGGCCCTGCTCACAGCCTGGTCCCCGCGCTCGGGGTAGCCTCCGGGCCGCCTTCTGGGTTGTCCAGAGCCACCATGGCCTGCAGCTGCGGTTGCAGCCCGGCCGGAGGCCGCGGAGGAAGTGACGTGTGGGGCGGAGTCTGCAGCGGCCCGGGGCGGAGACAGCCCCGGAACCCCAGCGGCTGCCGAGCTGGAAGCTCTGCCTCGGTTTCCCTCTCCGTAGGCATGGGGCGGCGTCACCCACCGGGGACCAGAGGGACTGACGACAAAATCTGAGCCACCCGGGAGGAGACGGTGGGGCACACCAGCCCGGGGGCGACTGCGGAGATGCGAAAGGCTCCTTGGGGCGCAGATGCGGGAGGGGTGTGCGAGTCCCGGGGTGACGGAACACTGCGGGGGGCTGAAGCCGAAAAGGACGCCCCGGCCTCCAGACCAAAGCCTGTGAGAGCTAGCCTGGTTTAAAAAAGCAAAGGGGAGGCTGGCCAGGGTGCACGCCTGAGCACTCCGGAAGCAAGATCGTTGGAGTTCCAGGCCAGCCTAAGCCACAAAACTTGATTGGGGCGGAGGGGCAGGTGTGGTGCACTCCTGGCCTAGCACTGGTTAGACGGAGGCAGGAGGATCAAATCTTCAAGTCATCATTAACCAACAGCAAGTTCCCGGGTGGCCAGCCTGGGCTACGGGAAAGCCACATGCTTTTTTTTTTAAACTATAACAATTAATTAATTAAAAGAGCCAAAAGAAACCATCCATTCTAAGGGTTTGTATAGACAGGCGAGGCGAAGCTGGAACTCATGGCTCTGGTGCAGAGGGAACGCAGGGGAAAGGGGTGCGAGAGGACACGGGGATTCCTGGCATCACACCGGAGTGGTTCTGTGGCTGCGAGAGAGAAGGACTTCATTCTAGAGCCCTGAATATTCATCTTGCTCCCCAGGGGACTGCTCAGCCCCCAACACCCTCCGAGTCCCCCAGGCTTTCAACTTCCTGGCCCCTCAGCCAGGGCTGCTTCGTATTTACTCAGCTCTCTCCTCGGCTTTGAGCCCACCCTCTCGGTGTGGGGGTGAACCTGTGGTCTTGGACTAGATAAATGCATTGCCACTGAGCTGCACCTGTAAAATGGTAGCCTCTTTTTCTCTGCTGTATAGTATTCTGGTGGCTTGCCGAGGCTAACATCTTGTGGAGCCGAGGGAGCCTCTGAGATGCATTTAACAGGGATGCGAGGGTGTGGCTGAGGTCAGTTCCTCGTGGTTCCTGCTGACAATTTCCAAAGTGCCCACTCTCCCAAAGGGAACTCGCCACTGGATGTCAGTTAGACCAGGAACCTTGTAACTATCAATCAGAGTCAGCCAAATGTATCTGACGGAGCCGCCCCTGTCCTGAAGCTTCCTGGCTCCAAGTGCTCTGGAGACACAAACTATGTCAGGGCTTCTTCAGAAGGCGAGCCTGGGCCCATCCGCCTGCCGCTCGGAGTTGAAGCTGGCCCCTGAGAGGGCCACGAGCCTCCCCTGCTTGGTGCCCAGAGCCCTCCCTCCTTCAGCCCATCTCCTGTCATCCGGGCACAGCTCTGGGAAGAGGGAGCGCAAGGCTCTGAAGCAGCTACTACGCAGCGAGATGCGAAGGCGGGGACAAGGGAGGGGGCGGGGGTATAAGAGTGGCCGCTGCCACGCTAGCAGAGGAGGCACTTTCCAGCCCCTGCCGCCAGCAACAGAGACCAGGGCACTAGTATCGCCGGAGAGCGGCCCTGGTCCTGAGGAGGAGGAGCGGGGTCTCCTCTGTCGTCCCCACTGTCCCAGGACTCAATCTGCGAAGGCTGCCTGGAGGAGGAGGGCGACGGGGCCATGGCCACCAAGGCGATGTTGAGTCCCAACATGACCTGGTGGGCTCCGTCCAACGCTTCGGGATGCCCAGGCTGCAGTGCCAACGCCTCGGATGACCCAGGTTCTGCGCCAGGGCCCCTGGACGCCTGGCTGGTTCCCCTGTTTTTCGCTGCACTCATGTTGCTCGGACTGGTCGGGAACTCACTGGTCATCTACGTGATCTGCCGCCACAAGCACATGCAGACCGTTACCAACTTCTACATCGGTGAGCGCGCGTCTTCCTGGGGTTCCCGGGTATGCGCAGGGTCCCGGGTCCCAGTCAGGAACACAGCGAGGCTCCTGAGACCCCAGTGTGCCCCTGCTGGGCAACCCACCTCTCCGTCCTTTGAACGCTGCAAACTCCAAAGTGGTAACCTCCCATCTGGTAGGGTACTAAAGGGGAGGTTGGTGACAGCGCAAGGAGACCGGGCCAGACATTTCAGCAAGATGTCTGTCCTATGGACGTGATAGCCTCTGGGGTGTGACCTGTCCTAACTGCCACCGGTAGCTTCGGACTATCTGGCTGTCTCCAGTTTAATGATGGGAAAACTGAGGCACAGAGGGACCCCCGAGGCTGCTCGGAATGAGTGCAAGGAGAGTGGAATGTGCCTAAGTTTCTCTGGCGGAGGATATGGGTGTGGGGGGGGGTGTCACTCGGACCCGGATGTAGAGGTCAGGGGCCCGTGTCTGGGTGCCCCGGTCTTCCAGCATCCGCGTGTCCCCCACCTGTAGCCAACCTGGCGGCCACAGACGTCACTTTCCTACTGTGCTGCGTGCCCTTCACCGCGCTCCTCTATCCGCTGCCCGCCTGGGTGCTGGGAGACTTCATGTGCAAATTCGTCAACTACATCCAGCAGGTACGCAGGCTGCGCCAGGGGCGGGGAGCTGGGGAGGCGCGAAGGCTTGGGAGCAGGGAGGGGGTTGGTGGGGGTAAGCTGGGCGGACTGTGTACTCTGGGAGAGACGTGGTCAGGGTATAGGCAGGACCAGGCCTGGGTGGGTGTGGCTATGAGGGTGTGTTCTAGTCCCTGACAGTGTTTGGAAGGGTGGGTACCTGTTCTGGTCAGGTTCGGGGTGGGCAAGGTGGGGTCCAGACCTGAAATGAGGCATGGTCTTTTACTTACTTTAGATTTCTGAAACAGATACTATATAGACCAGGCTAGCCTAGGACTCAGAGATCTGCTGGTCTCTGCCACCACACCAGTTTCTTAGAAGATTTTAAAACTTGTGTATGGACGTTCGTCTGCATCGTGTGCACGCAGTGCTCAGGGAGGCCGGAAGGGGAGGTGGGATCCCCTGGAACCTGGACGGTGGTGAACTGCCATGTGGGGCACACCGTCTTGTAGGGCAGGAGTCAGCCTGGTGTGGGCAGGGAGTGGTGAGGGCCTGTAACAGGGTGCAGTCAAGCGTGGACACAGAATACAGACGCACCACGTGGTGTAGGTGACAGACTAGGATCGGGACGCTGGAGAGTCCGGGTGGGCCACAGTGGCATGTTCTGGGGTGTGTGGGGTAGGGAGTCAAGGTAGAGTAGAGGGAAAGGTTTTGCAAAGGCGGAAGTCTGGTGGGCGTGGTCTTGTGGGGCGTGGTCAGGTCGTATGTATGCAGAGCACAGCTGGGGCCCGAGGGGCATCGCAGGCGTGAGGGTGAGGTGGCCAATGGTCTGACAGTCTCTTCACTGCAGGAAAGCTTCCTATGTTATGCCTCAGCTTCGAGGTACCTAACAAACTTGTGTTTATCCCCCCGCGCCCCCCCCCCCCGGTCTTCAGGTCCCACTGTGGTGTTCCCTCAACCCGTGGCCACTGGTTACTCCTCTCAGGACATGTTCGTGCACACCTGAGTGGTTAGATATGTAGTGGGACTGGCAGGGCCCACACTCAGTCCTTGGCTTTTCCAGGTCTCAGTGCAAGCAACATGCGCCACTCTGACGGCCATGAGCGTGGACCGGTGGTACGTGACTGTGTTCCCGCTGCGTGCACTCCACCGACGCACTCCGCGCCTGGCCCTGGCTGTCAGCCTCAGCATCTGGGTGGGTGAGTGTGGTTGGGGTCGGGATAAGGGTGGGGGAGGAGGATAAGACCTCCTCAGCTTCGGAGGATGTCTGCGGGGAGGGGGTGCAGACACGGGGGAGGTGTGGCACTGATCACCGGGAGACCCTGGGTGGGACGTCTTCCCCACTCCCCGAGGAACTCATCCTGCGTGGGTGGCGCAGGCTCGGCAGCTGTGTCCTCCCCGGTGCTGGCCCTGCACCGCCTGTCGCCTGGGCCTCGCACCTACTGCAGCGAGGCATTTCCCAGCCGCGCCCTGGAGCGCGCCTTCGCGCTCTACAACCTGCTGGCTCTGTACCTGCTGCCGCTGCTCGCCACCTGCGCCTGCTACGGGGCCATGCTGCGCCATCTGGGCCGCGCCGCAGTACGCCCGGCACCCACGGACGGCGCCCTGCAGGTGCGGGGACTCAGGCTAGGATTGAGGGTCAACTGGGGGGGGGCGGGGGAGTCGGAGCCCGAATTGTACACACACACACACACACACACACACACACACACACGTTCGTGCGCATGCTAGCGCGAGAGACTGGAGAAGAGCAAGGGTCGGGATTGAGGGGCTGCTGTGGGGTATCGGAACCCGGACTGTGTGCGCATGTGGGGGAACCCTGGGGTGCGAATGGGGTGACAAACGGGAATAGGGATAGGAGCCTGCGTTATTGCGAATGTGTGGAGGTACTCACAGGGGATTTCGGAGGGTAGCCTGTCCTCTGGCTAACACTTCTGGGTCCCCAGGGGCAGCTGCTAGCACAGCGCGCCGGAGCAGTGCGCACCAAGGTGTCCCGGCTGGTGGCCGCTGTCGTCCTGCTCTTCGCCGCCTGCTGGGGTCCGATACAGCTGTTCCTGGTACTTCAAGCCCTGGGCCCCTCGGGGACCTGGCACCCTCGAAGCTATGCCGCCTACGCGCTCAAGATCTGGGCTCACTGCATGTCCTACAGCAACTCGGCGCTCAATCCGCTGCTCTATGCCTTCCTGGGCTCACACTTCAGACAGGCCTTCTGCCGCGCGTGCCCCTGCGGCCCACGACGCCAGCGTCGGCCCCATGCCTCAGCGCACACGGACCGAGCCGCAACCCACACTGTGCCGCACATCCGGGCTGCGCACTCTGGCCGGGTTGGGGTCCCCGAGCCTGGGAACACTGTGATGTGCTCGCCCTGCGCTCAGAGTGAACAACACACTGCCCCACTCTGAGCCACCCCTGCCTGTCG